GGAGACGCTGACGGACGGTTCCGTGGCGGTTACCGGGAAGAATGCGGGAGACGCGAAATACGCGGCGCTGAAAACGTTCGCGGATTCGGGGCTGCCGGAGAATGTGTTGGCGTGCTGCAAGGGTTTCGAGAAGCCTTCTCCGATTCAGTCCCGAGCGTGGCCTTTCTTATTGGACAGTCGTGATTTGATTGGAATCGCTGCCACTGGCTCAGGTGTGTTGTTGTTGTTGTTGCTGATGCTGTGTGTTTTGTGTGGCTTGAAATAGGTTATGATTATGGTGGTTTTGCTTTCAGGGAAGACGTTGGCGTTTGGTATACCTGCGGTTATGCATGTTTTGGGAAAGCGAAAGAGTAAAAGTTCCAAGGGTCGGAACCCTCTCTGCCTCGTGCTCTCTCCCACCAGAGAGCTTGCTCAACAAGTATGTGTTTGTTGTACTGGATTTGAATTTGAATTTCATGTGTGTTTTGCACTTGTCAAGTGCAAATTGAAATTAGCGTCCTACATGACTTTCGTTGCTTCTTTAATACTTTACCTTTCTATATGGAAACTTTTAATATTGAAACTTCTAGGTGTAGCTTTTGTTTGTGAGTCAGAAAAGTAGGAGTGAAAATTGTCAGACATTGTGTACATAATATTGGTCTGTTTGGTTCGGAGGAGGGATGGGGGATTTTAATGGAGAAGAGAGGATGGAAGGGATTAAAATTTCTGTTTGGTTGAGACTTGAGGGGAGGGGAGGGGAGAGGAAGGATTTTAAAAATCAATTTACCTTTGTATCTTTATGATTTTGAATTTAGAAATACAAATAGGGATATTTTAGACATTATATTAAAAATGTTTTAAAACCCCATTCCTCTCTCCAAATCCCCCAATATTTGAGGGGTGCAAAATCCATGCTCATCTAATTTTAGCTCCCCTCCAATATTGCAGGATTTGTAGGGGAGGGGATAGATAGATTTTGAAACAATTTTAATATAATGTCCAAAATAATTGGTTTTTAAAATCCGTCTTCTCCCCTTGTGAACTAAACAATCAAAGAGCTACTTCCTTTTCCCCCTCTCAACCAAACAAAATTTCTAACTTATCCCCTCCCTTCCCCTTCTCCCCCCTCTCCTACTTTCCAGTAAAATCCCTCTCCTCCCTCCATTGAACCAAACGAAAAAAATAGCCTAAAAAATAAAAGTTTATGATAACCACTCCCCTTCCCTTCCCTCCGTTCCTCTCAACCAAGCATTGAGACTGTGAATTTGCTAATTTTTTTTCCTTCCCCTTGTATTTTTGTTCAACCTTTTTGTACCTGTAATGTGTAGTAATGGAATGCTATTTCTGTGAGAGAATTTTTAAATCTCTTAAGTTACTAAAAAGAATGGTTTACTTGGATTTAAAATTTCAATGAAAGGGCTGTGCAGTGTGAATGATGTATTTGCTAGCTGCGAGCTTATTATTTAGATTTCTACATGTACATTAGATGAGGAGCCATAGGTTATAGTCAATTCATCATCCAGCTGCTATTGATTAATTCAAATGGCCTGAGAAGTTAAATATTGGTGTCTCAATGCATTGTCATAGCTTATTTCTCTCTCCATTGGAACACTGTCAATGACAGGAAATTGATTGATGTTACTTTTGGATAATCTTAATATTTTTCTTTTAAGTTTTCTGCTGTTATGTGAACTCTACAATTTACTCCCCAGCCCTTTCACCCCCCAATTTGGTCTATTTCCCCATAAAGAATATTTCCAGTGACTTTATCTTACATTTCCAACTTCAATGGGTATCAGACAGTATTACTGATTTGCTGAATGATAATAGCTAATAATTTTCTTTATTTGTTTTATAGATATCAGATGTCATGTGTGATGCTGGTAGTACTTGTGGCGTGGAATCAATCTGTTTGTATGGTGGAACCTCCAAAGGGCCACAAATCTCCTCACTAAAATCTGGAATTGTAAGTTATCAAGTTCTTCTGCTCCTTTGGATGGTTTATATTCTGATGTTAGTTGAAGTCATGTGCTTGTTCAGTTCCATATTGAGTGAGATTTTTTGGTCACTTTTTATAAACATCAAATGGATGTTTTGATACCACATTTGTTCATCCAGGACATTGTCATTGGAACCCCTGGTCGTATCCAGGATCTGATTGAAATGGGTGTTTGTTGCCTAAAAGAAGTATCTTTTGTGGTAAGCTGTAAATTGTCAAGCAAAATTCTGTTGTTCATAAGTAACATATACAGAGCTGAGCCTTTTGTAAACATTATCATTTATTTGTCCTAGGTACTTGATGAAGCAGATCGGATGCTTGACATGGGTTTTGAACAAATAGTTCGCTCTATACTGGGTCAGACATGTTCTGGTATGAAACATCTTTATCAATTGTTGCCTCTATTTATGGTCATTAAATTGTTCCTTTTAAATTTTAATTTGTTATAATTTTTAATATTTTCCTTATTGTAGTAGTTGAACTACACTGAACCTTCAGTTTTGATTCTCCAAGGAGCTTACATAGATGTATTTTGTTTTATTAAAATTTTCCCAGCTTTTTTTTTTATTCCATTAAAGAGATTATACTTGTGTGCAGTTCGTCAAATGGTTATGTTCAGTGCTACATGGCCATTGCCAGTTCATTATTTGGCACAGGAGTTTATGGATCCTAATCCTGTAAAAGTCTGTATCTTCATTTTCCAGAAACAAACTTTGAACTATTTTTTTTTATATTTAAGTTTTTGCAGGAAGAAATATTTAAACTAGTGTCTCTTAACAGGTTGTTGTAGGTTCAGAAGACTTAGCTGCCAATCATGATGTCATGCAGATAGTTGAGGTGTGAATTTTATCAAATCTACATTTCACTTGTAATGTATTTATGCTTTTAGTGAATATTTATTCGTTTTACATTCATAGGTCTTGGATGACCGTTCCCGTGATAAGCGCCTGCTTTCTTTACTGGGAAAATACCACCAATCTCAGAGGTATACCATCCTGCAATATGCTTCTTCCATGTGCTTGCCTCTTAAAACTAGAGACGTCTTCCCAATCAGCTGTTTTTGTATTGTGTGACTGGGGTGTGTTTTTTTTGTCTTTGGGGGTGGGGGGGATGGAGTGCCAACATCAATGAACTGGCTGTTTAAGTTGGAAATAGATCTCGCTGGCCTAAGTCATGAAGTCATCTCATCTCAGATAAAGGCTAAAAGCAGGGATGAAGTTGAAGATCATAGTCAAAATTCACTGGCTGTTTATGTGGTTTTCAGGGAGATCGGATGTGGAGCATGAATTTCCTATAAGAAATGTAAAAAGGTCTAGGAGTGTAAAATAATGTTAGATTGGTCATACGGTTTCCATGACTTTAGCTGTATTTCTGTAACACGAGAAGAAAGAGTCAGTTTCCGATGGTGGTTTTGATATATATATATATATGTATATATATGTATGTATCGATACCTTTTTCTTACCTGTGTAATATCGCCACATGTTGCTAAGAGCTTGTACCTTTTCTCAGGAATCGAGTATTGGTTTTTGTTTTGTACAAAAATGAAGCCACACGAGTTGAAAATATGCTTCAAGGAGGGTAAGTCATGCGTTTCTTTTATATTTTCCCTTGAAAAATATCTGGTGCTAGCTCTAAGCACTTACTGATGATTATAATAGATACTTATGATATGTTAAATACCGTCTTCAGGGGATGGAAGGTTGTGTCAATACATGGGGACAAAGCCCAACATGATCGCACTAAGGCACTGTCATTATTCAAGAAGGGAAGCTGTCCTTTGATGGTAACCTGTTTCTCATTGTATTTATTAATTATTAATCATATTAGTTTGTTGGCTCAAAAGTTAAAACAAAATTATAAATTGGTTTCAGCGATGTTTGATTGTTCTCCATGATATTGGAGAATGGTTATGGTTATTTTTCTCGCATCATTTTGTAATTATATTTTTGCAATACGTTTTTCTGGACTTGATATCTCTTGTTAATGTTCAATATCCAGATTCTTCTGTACTTTTGTTCCCTTTCTCTTTCAATGTTCTAGTTTTAGTATTTTTACTGTAAAGAGTCTACGGGCTTGCTATTTCTTGATAATGTTTGAGGGCTCCTGCAAATGTCCTCAATGGGTAATGTATGAAATGCTTCTAATGGAACTTTCTCTACGTCTATTGAACCTGACATAATCCCTCAAACATTCTCTGCACTTTTTGTTGCTTTATTTAGTTAATTATTTGACACAACATTTCAATGAGCAGGTTGCTACTGATGTGGCTGCACGGGGATTGGATATTCCAGATGTTGAAGTAGTGATCAACTATAGTTTTCCTCTGACTACTGAAGATTATGTTCATAGAATTGGGCGGACTGGACGAGCTGGTAAGAAAGGTGTTGCCCATACATTCTTCACACAGCAGAATAAGGTAGTATTGATTGTCTTATCTCTAATTCTATATATTCTAGGTTCTTACTTGCACCCATGCAAGCTGTTTCTATTTTATATTTGTTTTTTTTTTCTTCACCCTGTTATCAACTAAAGAATGGAAATATTTCAGGGACTTGCTGGGGAGCTGGTGAATGTTTTAAGAGAAGCAGGACAAATTGTGCCCGATGCCCTCTTGAAATTTGGCACACATGTAAAAAAGAAGGTATATTTTCTTCACTTTTGTCTATGCATGCATCAGTTATCAGTTCAGATTTTTTCTATGATGAGGCTCGGACAAACATTTCTTTGTTTCTCAGTCCGTTAGCTTTTGACTTGTGCAAAGCATTTGATTGATTAAGTATAACTTTTCAATCTATGATAGGAGTCCAAACTTTATGGGGCACACTTCAAGGAAATCCCTGTTGATGCTCCAAAGTCTCAAAAGAAAACATTTGCTGACTCTGACGATGAAGACTAAATGCGGGTGACCTGTGTTTATTTTTGGGTGAAGGAAGGCCATTTCTTACTGTTTTTGGTCGAGTTATTTATTACTTTAAAAGGTAATAAAAAATTAGTCATAGTTAAGATTAGTGAATCTTTTCCTGTTCTAGCATGGCTTAACTGTGCTTGTAAGCCTTAATTCTTTTCTCCACTTTATGAGATGATAGTTTTGAATTTACATATTTTTAGCTGTCTAGGGTTGTCTTTTATTTTTCAAAGTTTAACATTTTAAAGTTTTAATTAATTTATTTATTTACCATTATACTTTGTTGTATCTTGCACGGAAATTTTATTTCCCCGACTTCAACACTCATTCTGTAAACCGTAAATATGCCTGTTATACCAATTTATGTGGATTGTAAATGAGGATGTTCAACATTATTTTTGCATTAGCCCACCGGTTATTGGCGTTAAGTTACTTTGTGAGGTTAGTAATGCATACACATGAAACCATATTGGAACATAAGTTCCCGTTGGAACTGTTTAGCCACGTGAGTTTGCCCACTAGACTTTCTGGCAATCGTGATTTGATACTTTTAATAACCCTAACTATGCCTGTGCATCTAATGCAAAAACCTGGATCATCAGTTACTCTTCCTCGGGCAATTTTGGAACAATTTGACCCCCGAAGATACTTTTATTTACGCTGTTAACGGCTGGTTGCTGCGCATCAAATAGTTTCTGCAATTATATTTGAGCGAGTTTGACGGTACGTTGGATTTAGGACGTTTTCCTAAATAATTTTGAAGTGATACCTTTCAAGTTCTTTGTGATAATCAAATAATAGACAAATCGTGTAACTAAACACTAACTTATGGTCTAGTTGAGATAAGATTTTTTAATAAATAAGTATAGAAAAGTAAAACACGAAAGTAAAATTAATCAACTTTCTTTAGTAAATTAGAATCATACTGATTGATATAGTTTGAGTTCTTTAATTACATTGCCAATCATTTTTTTGGGTGGAATTATATCTAAGGGTCAAATCTAGAAATAGTCAAGAGGAATGAGTTAAAAGTGAGCTATATTTTTCTCTTGTAAGTATATTGTAAATAATTATCTTTGTCTTTTCCTTTGATCTTGTATTATGAGTCAAGTGGAATGTGGTTAATTTTGTACTTTTTCTTTGGGGGTTTATTTGATAGTTTAGGGGGGGTGTATTTTGTAAATAAAAAAAAATGTAGTAAGTGGGTTTGTGTGAAATTCAATTGAAGGAACTACTTTTAGTGTTTTTTTTTTTTTGTGTTTCTCTTTATATTTCACACACCTTTTAGTTACATTTCTTTTACTTAATGACACTTCTCATGTGATTTTTAGTTCATCCTGTTTTGTCACTTCATATATCCGTAGTCATATTTTCTATATTTAGTTACACCTCTCTCATGTCTAATGTATCTAGATTAGATTAAGGGAAGGTGAAGACTGAACAGGAGATTTCTCACTCTAATCTAATTAAAATTGAGTTAGTTTGCACTACAAGCTAACCTAGCCTATATATATAAATTTCTTTTATAGTGTAATCACTTTTGAGATATTAATATATCAATATTTGATTTCTCTCTATTAAGAGTTCGAATTCTTTTCTTTAGAGTGTAACTTTATTAGAATTCTCATCAAAGATTTTTTTTCCTTGTAACAAATAGTATTTAAATTTATATTCTCCTTTGGTTTCTCCACCACTTCTATTCTCTCAATTCTCATGTTCTTTATTCACCTATTATGATAAAGATTTATGATGAAGATTAAATACAAAAGAAGCAATGCAATTAATTGATACCATCATTAATCTCAAGTATAAAATACATTATATTAGGAGGAATACTCATATTGTATGTGTCCATATTTTTCAATGAGGATTAGTCATTATTTTCAATAGTAAATATTTTGTATCAATGTCATAGTTCTAAAAAAAATGTGCATTTTATTTTTTAAAATTCTCAGCTAACTTATTAAAAATTAAGATGTATAAATTAATTTTAAATAATGTCAAAATATTGATTTGAGGTTATGAGAAACAAAATGTTTTATATTATTTCGGACTTTCCCCTTAATTATCTACGAAGTTTCTCCCCTTGTCCGAGTACTGGTTTTATTTAGTCAACATTCAACCCTATGTTTCATTTGCTTGAGTGTCAAGTTGCTTTAGTGACTTGCTCTCCACAACCTACAAGGCAGGAATAACTCTTATTTAGACATTTTACGTTTCCTTACGTACAAAGAAGCCACTAATCATTGAAAAGTATTTGTGGAGGAAATATATAATTAATAATAACAATTTCTTTTTACCTCATCATTCATTAAATTTCATGTTTTACAGTACAATAAAGGCATTAATTATATGTTCTAAGTTTTTTAATTACTTAAAATATTATATAATTTTTATATTTTTTTAATAAAATAAACAGTATTTAATATTTTTTTTTATAAGAACATATTTACTGCATAAGTAAACAAAAATGTAATTTTTTGGGTATTAGGGGATTAAGTTACCAGTTTAATTTAGTCAATGCCCTTTAAGACACTCCAATGGCTGGTAATTATCAATTAGGATTTAGGCATTAGGCTTCGCCGTGTCAAATGTTGCATCCCTTGTATTGTCCCAATTAAGAGATTGATTAATATAACCGCGTATTCAACGGGGAAAATTATTATTACCATCCTACAGGAGCCAATTCGTGATTATGTGTATTTTTTTTAAAAAAATTAAAATTAAAATAAATGATAAAAAAATATTTAAAATTAAATATTAAAATTGGTTGCGAGTGATTTTGAGTAATTAACTATAAAGTGTAATAAAAATTAAATAAAAAAAAGTGTTCTAAAAGTTACACGAGTAAAACAATAAGCAGAAATTATACATGAAAAAACATCGCTAAATAAGGGTAGAATGGAATAGAAAAATACTATATTTATAATTTTTTTAACTTTTAATTAGTCTATTTAATAAAAAAAATATTTAACAAAATATGCAATATTCACAATAAAAATGTCACTCATTATCAAAATTTAATATTTATTTTTAATATATATATATATATAATATAAAAACTTTAAAAAGTTAAATTCGTTGATATTATTATATTATCTATGGACATTGTAAATATGTAATGGATATTGTAGCATAGTATGTGCTTGGATTATGTAAAAGCCTAAAAGGTGAAGGTTGTAAAATGTTTTTGGGATAACCGCCCCTATAACATACTATCTACTTGAATATTTTATATCAATAACATGTTAAAAAAAATGAAGTAATAAATTATAATTATAACTAGAATTATGATTTAATATGTGATACATCCAGTTAAGTTAAAATTCTAAAACTTATTTATGTTTTTTTATACTTTTATTTGATCTTTTATAGTTGTTTTTAAATTTTAATTATTAATAAATATTTTTTTACTTATAATCAATAAATGATTCAAGCTTAACTGTATTTTTGGTTCATTTAATTTTAACTATTGGTAGTTTAATATTAAAATATTTTTCATTAATAATAAATCCATAAATTAAAATATGGCGATATAGGTATTATATTTTTAGTTTTGAAAATCCCAAACATTTTAGTGAAAAGAACATCACTTTAATAGATTTGCAAAATCACATTATGCCTAATGTTGATTGATTTTTTTTTTTAAAGTATTCATCAAGAAAGTAACAAAAAGTAAAATTCTACTTATATAAAATAATCAATTAAAGGCAAATGTTAACTTAGTTTAAGAATTTAATTATAATAGAGCATCGACACATTCTAGAATAGATTTACAGAGACAAATTATCATATAGTAAAGACTAAATAATAGATATTTTAGTTTCTTTTAGAGAAGATATTTTTGTTCTAAAAAATATGAAATTGATGAAATAAAATGAAATTCTTCCCAAAACTAAAGATACGTACAATTTTATTGCAAAGCTTACGTGATATGCTACTACTCCCCTTAACAAAAACTAAATCCTTTTCCCGAAGCTAATTTTTCTTCATAGAAAACTCCCAGATAATGAATAAAATCATATCCAACCATTCATATCCAAACAACCTTATCAGCCACCAATCTTGAACAAATGATTTTTAATTCTAGAAGTCTTTGGAAATTTTATTTCCTTTGGCTGCAAATGCCAAAGCTAATAGCTTGTCAAGACTTAATAATGATGAGAAGGGTGTGTTTCACATGCAACTAAAATTAAAAAGCCACTAATAATAAGAAGATATTCTAGGAAAATTAATAATATCAAATAGAAAATTCTTTGTTTCCAAACTGTTGAAAGTGATTAGTCGTTAGAGGGAGTGTGCGACAGTGCCACAAACCTTCTAGGCGAGAAAAAAAAATCTAATGAATTTGGTTTCTATTTTATTTTATTTATTTTAATATCATATTTTCATTAATTAAATCATTTTAAAATTGAAATATTTATTATCTAGTTCCTGTTAATAGTAATTAATTTCATTAATGATGTAGCATTTTATTATTCATTGATGATTTGTTTTAAAATAAATTGATACTTTATTATATTTAAAGGCTTGCTTTAATATTAATATTTATAATACATATGTCATAAAATTAGAAAATTACATAAAAATCATTTAAAAAAAGAATTAAAATTTATTTACAGAATAATTACTCCTTGATATATTTACCCTAATTTAGAGTAAGTTTATGATAAATACATAACTTTAAAAGTGTCAAATCCCATTATAATTTATCATCTGCTTATTTCACAGCAAACATTCACCTTTAATTGAAAGTAAATTAATCTCTAAATTAAAGACTTAGTTGGTCTTTTCTTGGAAAGTTTGAACTTGATTTCAATTAGAGAGTAGCCCATTAAAAGTGCTCCTTTAATTTTATACGAAGGCAAGATTGCCATGATATCCTTAATTTAATTTAAACTTTCATGTAAAATAATTAAAGACAGATTCTTTACTTAGCTAAATACTTTTATTTTAAAACAGTAAAACTTACTTATCTTCTAATTCTTTCACAAATCACAATTTATTTTATACTGTAGGTCAGTAAGAGGAGTTGATATTCATGCAAGCTTTTGACGCAAAACAAAGGACGCAATACGCGTGTGGATGAATTAGTCTCTTGAATTCTGATGCAATATTTGCAAGTTGCAACGACAATTTTTCTTCAGCTGATGTTGTGAATACTTTAATTTATTAACCTGAAAACCGCTTGCTAGTCATAGTTTTCGTAAAATACAATGGAACATCTTTTTCATCGTGTGGAGGGCATGGTTTTTCAGTTGGCAGTTTTGTGACGCGGAAAAATAAGGCATTCAATAAAATATCAGTTGACCACTTCCTTGGTGGCGCTTACAAGGGCACATTCAGAGAATATTATTCAGACACGTAACCTTGAACATTGCCATATAAGCACAAAGGCAAAGGCATCATAAAGGAATTAAAAATCCTCATCATCAAGTCCTAGCAACTATTCTTATCAGAAAACAGAAAAAGAAAACCGCCCAGAAAACTAATCATATATCAAGTTCTTGAAAAATTTCCATTAGAGAAAAATACATGGCAGATAGTTCAGTATCGTTTTTATTGGACAAACTGTCTTTGTTGCTACAAGAAGAAGTGAATCTTCAGAGAGGGGTACGTGAAGATGTTCAGCACATCAAATATGAACTAGAACTCCACAAGGGCATCTTAAGGATGGCTGACGCTATGGAACACAAAGACCCTGAACTCAAAGCATGGGTTAAACGAGTGAGAGATGTTGCTCATGACATGGAAGATGCTATAGATGAGTTCAACTTTCGCCTTGTTGATCAACATGGACAAGGCAACAATTCTTCTTTTCACAAGTTTATCTTTGGCATCAAGACAATGAAGGCCCGGCACAGAATTGCTTCAGATATCCAAAGTATCAAGTCCAAAGTGGACATTATATCCCAGGGACGACCAAACATGCCTGGGATAGGCTCAAGCTCAAGTCAACGGTTGTCACCAAGGGTTGATAGCCAAGGAGATGCACTTTTGCTTGAAGAAGCTGATCTAGTCGGTATTGACAAACCCAAAAAGCAAATCAGTGACTTGCTTTTCAATGAAGAAGTGGGTAGGGCTGTGATTCCCATTTATGGGATGGGAGGGTTGGGAAAAACCACCTTGGCAAAACAAGTCTATGATGATCCAAAAGTGAAGAAGCGTTTCAGGATTCATGCTTGGGTTAATGTCTCTCAGTCTTTTAAACTAAAAGAGCTTCTGAAAGACTTGGTTCAACAGCTCCACAATGTCATAGGCAAACCAGCCCCGGAAGCAGTTGGGCAAATGACAAGTGACAATCTCAAAGAGGTGATCAAGAGCTTGCTTCAGCGAAGCAGGTACCTCATTGTGCTGGATGATGTGTGGCATGTTAGGGCATGGGATTCTATCAAACTTGCTTTGCCAAATAACAACCGTGGTAGTAGAGTGATGCTTACCACACGCAAGAAAGACATAGCTTTGTATTCCTGTGCTGAATTGGGCAAGGATTTTAACCTTGAATTCTTGCCTGAGGAAGAGGCTTGGCGTCTTTTCTGTAAGAAAACATTTCAGGGTAACTCATGCCCTCCTCATCTGGAGGAAGTTTGCAGGAATATCTTAAAAATGTGTGGGGGGTTACCACTAGCAATTGTGGCAATTGGTGGTGCTTTGGCTACAAGAGGCAGGGCTAACATAGAAGAGTGGCAGATGGTATGCAAAAGTTTTGGCTCTGAGATTGAAGGCAATGACAAACTGGAGGACATGAAGAAAGTCCTTTCCCTCAGTTTCAATGATTTGCCTTACTATCTTAAATCATGCCTGTTTTACCTATGCATGTTTCCTGAGTTTCATGCAATTGAGCACGCGAGATTGGTTCGCTTGTGGATAGCTGAAGGGTTTGTGAATGGAGAAGATGGAAAGACACTTGAGGAAGTTGCAGATAGTTACCTCAAGGAGCTTTTGGACAGAAGTCTGCTGCAAGTGGTAGCAAAAACCAGTGATGGAAGGATGAAGACTTGTCGCATGCATGATCTGTTGAGGGAGATTGTGAATCTGAAGGCAAAGGATCAGAACTTTGCAACAATAGCCAAAGACCAAGACATAATCTGGCCAGAGAAAGTTCGACGTTTATCAATCATAAACACATTGGATAATGTGCAACAAAATAGGACCACATTCCAACTTCGGTCTCTGCTGATGTTTGCCTTATCAGATTCACAAGTGCATTTTTCTATAAGTGCATTGTGTTCTACTGGTTACAAGTTACTCAGGGTGTTAGATTTGCAGGATGCACCTTTGGAAGTTTTTCCTGCTGAAAT